CAACCAACCAACCAACCAACCAACCAACCAACCAACCAACCAACCAACCAACCAAGCCACCAACCAACCAACGAACGAACGAACGAGCAAAACATTTTTTTAAAGGATGAAATAAAAAACCCCCATACAAAACAAAAAAAGCGTAATGGATTCATTCAGACGATGTTGCATCAAGTCTGCAACTAAACAAACGGATCCGTCCAGTGGTTATGCCACAGTAGCCTTTCCCGATGTGTCTATGTCCAAAAGTTGCCTACTATTACGCCTTGTCTTAAATAAAAATCCCATTTTTTGTTCACTTAACAAGGAATGTGGATACTTGTTACTCTCTAGTCCTCAGTTGACGAGATGTCTGTTGTACAGGAGTCCTACAACTGGCTTTGCCCATTTTATGTCAAAATTGCTCTTTTGGGACAGATTTAAGTTGTATTTTTATTTTTAAAATATTTATTTATCTATTATTTATTTATTTATTTGTAATGTTTTTAAAATGTATATATCTTCATTGGAGTCAAGCGAAACACATCGACGCGCAACGTTCGTGTAATGTCCAGCAGTGTAGTTGATTGAACTAAATTGAAATGTGAAATTGTACCGGTTTAATGCCCCTATTAACACGTATTAGGTTATTTAAGAGGAGAGATCTCCCGAGTTAAACGTCCATCTCCGAAAGGACCGAGCCAGGTGGGAAATTCGTATAAAGTGCATTTCCCTAGGAGCTGAGACTCGAACCCCCGAAGTTTCAATCTCATGGTTACGGCCAGTCTGTGCTACCGACGCCACTTGAACAACTAGTATAACAAAGGTACAACGAAATGGAATTGGCACTCATATGACCCAATGCAGTCGTAAAACCTCTACTAAAACTAAAAACTAAACGAAATGGAAAAACTGTTTACGTCTCTGTTTTGATTGTTAAGCCAAGATTTCTGACATTTCTTCGTTGGCATTTCATAAGGTTTTTGACTCTTTATTCCTCTTCAGAAGTAGCCGTTTGTGATGTTTTTAATGTCACGTTTGACCTGCAAAGTTATTTAAATGCCAGGTTAATTGATTTGTATGTACCTACAGCCTACAGTGACCAACGAAACCTCCTTTTCTTCCACCCTCCGAGTCTCTCTGTCGCTTTCTTTCTCTCTCTCTCCCTCAATCTGTATCTATCTATTTCTCTCTCTCTCTCTCTCTCTCTCTC